CAGTCAAAGCCTACTCATCAGAAGGACCTCTGCTGCCCTTTCTGTCTGTACCAAACTAAGAACAAGAACAACATGATTGATCACATTGTCTTGCATCGTGGTATGTTGGAGCATTTGCAGGATTTGTAGGAACGTGTTCTGCTTTCCGATACCTGACGCTGTCACACAAGCATTCCCTTTTTTCCTTTTTTTTTTTTACAGAGGAACGTGTAGTGCCAATAGAGGTTCGTCGCCCCAAACTATCACGTTACCTTCAAGGCATCATCTTCCGCTGTCACAAATGTACTTTCACCAGTGGCAGCCCAGAAAACCTGCATTTGCACATGATGAGGCACGATGACATCAAACCCTACAAGTGTCGGCTGTGCTATTTCGACTGCACCCGGCTGAGTGATTTGGAGGCACACCTGAGCGATAAGCATCAGGTCAGGATTTCTCTAAAGCCTCCTGTGCATCCTTGGAATTCCTTTGGGTCAAAAAACGTTGTTTCTTTAACTGATGGGCTGACGGTGCTTCTGTTCTACACACTGCTGTCATAACCATGAAGATTTAGAAAATCAAGCATAAATGAAGTTGAATTAAGTTATTTAAGCCTATAAAAAATGTAAGCAGCAATTAGATGTCAGACGTCAACATGTCTGAAATTTGAAGGGAGTAGCCAACAAAAGAGAGTGGGAGCATACATCCTAAAAATATGAATAGATATAAAAATGAACATAAAGAATTCATCAGAATGACATTTTTAAATGTCAACCACGCATCTTGTTTAATAGCACCGCATCACTTTCACAAGCTACATATAGACAGTGGACTTACTTTTGCAAAAGAATGGTTTTATTCACATATCACATTCGCTACGGAGACATTGACACTGGGCCATTTGATTCCTTTAGTCTGAATGTTTTTGTAGTCCAAAAACTTTGCCACAAATCGGTTTAATATTGATTAAGGTTGTGTCTGAAGGTTCTCAGTCATCCAGGTCATTGTAGTCTAAGGAGCTTGGAAAGAAAAGCATCTGGACTTCTTTGAGTTGCTTGAAGAGCCAACCTTTACATGGAGGAAGTGGAAAGAAAGGCTCTTGGCTCTTTTAAAGGGAGAGTACCCAGCCATTGGTACAGATATGTCGATGGCACCTGGGTCAAAATCAAAAGACAAGAAGTGGAATCCTTATATCCTAGAAGTGGAATCCTATAAAGTCAGCAAAGATGCACAGAAAAGAAGATCAGACACCAGCGAGGGAGGATAAGAAAGACAGACGCAACAACATTGTCATCCCCTAT